GGCTGTACAACAAGAAGTCTAAAATTCCAGATGCCCCCTCTATTACTAATATCTCGATGGGTTAAACTGACCTCTCACTAAATTTGAATAGAAGCTAAGTAAATTAAACTTAATAAATGCCCGCTTTTAACAGTCTGAATACCCATGTTCTGAAATACAAATTCTGAATTCAGCTGCAGATTGCAGTACGTGCACAATTCCAGATGCCCCCTCTATTACTAATATCTCGATGGGTTAAACGGACCTCTCACTAAATTTGAATGGAAGCTAAGTAAATTAAACTTAATAAATGCCCGCTTTTAACAGTCTGAATACCCATGTTCTGAAATACAACTGTATTTAGCTGCAGATTGCAGTGTGCACTCTGTCTAGTCCGAACTTTTATTAATCCTCTAAATTGAAGGAAATCAAGATATTGTTTAAATTTTATAAGATAATAAATAGAATAAGATAAGATAAAGAATGTGAATGAATTTTATTGCTCATCGTTGGTGGGATCTTCATGGAACTCTTCCTGAGTTGCGGTTCCTTGTTCAGGGGCGAAACCCGATTGTATTCAGCTGCAGATTGCAGTGTGCACTCTGAGCCCAAAATTTAAAAGAGTAACGTTGAACAAAACTCCCGGGTTTCCTTTTTGGGGTCTTATTATTTGTGTAGATTTTGATTTAAGAGATTGGAAAAAAAATGGTAAAATATGAAGAAACTAAATAAAATAATATTTCAAAACAAAAATATCGATATCTACAAAACTGGGTAAACCCATTTGTGAAACCCAGGTTCCAAAACTGGTTTTCATAACGATACCCTGTCTTAAGTTTTGGGCTCTGCCTAGTCCGAACTTTTATTAATCCTCTAAATTGAAGGAAATCAAGATAATAAATAGAATAAGATAAGACAAAGACAAAGTAATTTTTATATATAAGTAAATATTTTATATCTCTGTCTTTTTTAAGATGTAACTAAACGCTTATAAACCTTTTTTCTAACCATTTTCATTTAACAGACTATAAAAAATAAAGAAGATTTTAAAAGCCGTATCTCAATTCTCATGTTTAAGAAAATCCTTAAGGTCAAATATTTTGTTTTATCCGATTAGTTACATTACTTAATTAGGTTGTTTTTGATGGATAGATAGGTATATATATATCTAAAAAATTTATCAAACATTATAACCTGAGCTCAGGGGCGTATTCAGGGGGGGGGCTATGGGGGCTAAGCCCCCCCTTGGACCAGTGTAATCTATTGCTTTCAGGGGGTTTTCAGGCCCCAACGGGTGCTGAGCCCCCCCCCCCCCCTGAACAAATTCCTGAATAGGCCCCTGCGAGCTCAAAACTTTAGAATGAGATATCCTTAATCACGATCGCTTAATCTGATTATCCAATGTACCCACTTGATTTTCTTCTTAATCTTCCTTTTTTAAATATCCCTACTGTATAAAAGTTACGTTTGATAACAATTACAGATACGATGCTATATCGATTGGACTAATATCTGATTACATTAAAGTCAGCTGTTCACAAGCCGGCTTTTAGAGCATTTAAACAAATATAAATTTAATCATGTTAATATGAATTTATTAAATATTTTATCACATTTTAGGACCATTGTCATTTTGAACGTTAGTCTTGATAAACATTAATCCAAATTTACTTTCGTTCTATCGATGTTTAGTTCAATTGATAAAACACCATCAACAAAAGAAATAAAAACCGGCTTTTCAAAAGTTAGTATACATCTCAATATGACACGCTGATTGGTTAAATTATAAACTTCTTTCTTTGATATCGAATGCGTATTATAATAATCTCGGGTTTAGTAAAACCAGGAATTTAAGCATTAATCTTGATATCCACCATTCTAAAGTTTTCAGCTCTGGAAAGATTTATTTTTTTCAAACACAATCTGACGTTTTGACGTACTTGTCTTTTTGACTTAGAAAGATTCGCATCAATTTGTGAAAAGTTTTGAAAGAAAATTTTGTATCCTAAATACTTTTGGATTATGTAAAATCCCACAAAAATGTTGGATTAATATTTAATATTTAGTATTAGCCGTATTACGCTTTTTATATCAATTGTCGAAATTATTTTAAATATATTTTTTCTTGATCCGGGTTTATCTCATTATAAAGTTAATGTATATCTCAACAAATTAATTTGATTCCAATAATTGAGTATTTTCGAACTTTATTAAAATAAATACATAATACTGTTTCACTCTTCAGTATAGGGATGGGCTTCGTGTTTATGTCTGTTTTAAAAACATCAGAGGTTTTTTTTACATTTAAGAAGCTTTACAATGCTAAGATGCTCAAGAGATTTAAAAATGATTGGCTTAAATCTGCAAACAGTGATAAAAGCAAAAAACATTTATTTAGAACATCTCAGACTGTTAAGGAGCTTTTTTACAGTAAAACACCTGATTTTCTTTAAAAAGGCCCCAAATTATTAATCTCATTCCTGTAAGATGCAGGTTTAGCTTAAACTGATGTAGAGAAGGAGAAAGATCCGGTATTAATGTTGATATTTTGAGCCGGATGTCCTAAAAAATAAAATAAATAAATCAAAAAAGGATTGCTTAATTCGCAGAAATTTGAAAATTACATTCTACCTCTTTTTATAAAATTAGGGACAAAACTGAGTCTATTTTACGGTTTAGCCCAGAACTTCAGAGACATCGAAAGAATTTATAAGATGTCGTTATCTAAACCTATTGATAATGGAATATTGCAGATATTTCGTTTTTTTCACTAAATAATTAAATTGAGCTCTTTAAAACTGTTCCCACATATTTCATGGCTTCAAATTTATTTTTATAATTACTTAGATTTAGGTTTAGTACAGTGAATCCCAGATATATGAATACATAGCAAGAGTTTTTTATAATGTCGTATTACATAATTAAGATCAAATGCCGCGGAAAAATGAGTTTAACATTAATATATAAATTGCATTCATATTTCAAGGTTATTAATTTACCTTGAATTAAAAAAAAGTTTCTTTAGAATTGTCACTGTAGTATAAAACCCATTGAAAAATTGTCAAGACGGCATTCATCAATTCTTTTGATATTACAGAGCATCCCATATCACATTAGATTATCTCCAAGCTTTTACGCCAAAATTAAAAAATTTAAACCAGCACAGCCTTTTACCCGTGGTTCTGTACAAATATAGTACTGTACATAAATCGTTAATGTGGTACAATTGGACTCAAACTCAATTTAATTGTCCATTAGAGTTTGAAAATAAAGCCAAGCCTGAAATACTGTTAAACTCTAGATAACGGTTAGGCAGAGCAGGGCCTATAGATGTTTCTTGCCTCAAAATAAAAAAATGGGGTCATCGAGTTGAGGTGTGTGCGTCGGGGTAGGGACGGATACATGATAATGGATTCACAGAATGCAGGAAAAAACGGACCTGCCATGTTTAAAACCCTGATAAGGTTAGCATTGATGAAGAGGTTGTAAAGGCTGGTTATGGAAGAATACGTCCGCCAATCGAGAAGCGGAGAAATCCTTGAAGTGTTCCATCTTTTCTCTTATTGTATTTAAATACTCAGTATTGTTTGTTATTAGGTCAGCTGAATAATTTCCCAGAAAATAAATTGTTCTTGAAAGTTTGACTTGCCTGAAAATGTCCCAGCTGGTAGAGTAATGAAAGAAGGTTGGGTTTGGGTTGGATTCGGCTGATTCTCTCCTCCTATTGACTGGGAAGGAACAGTCTGCTGAAATCCTATTGGCTGAGAGAGAAAAGTCTGTTGTGCTCTTATTGGTTGGGGAGAGAAAGTTTGCTGAGTTCTGGTTGGTTCTGCAGAAAACTGCTGGGCTGCTATTGGTTGGAATTGAGGGACTGGTCGACTTCCACCAAAACGAGAACTTGACTAAATGGGCAACAAATAATGCTCAATTTTTGGTGTTGAAATAATAAGACTCACAAATTCAATCACGAAGAAAAGAAAAAATTGAAGAAAAAAAATCTAAAAGCATCTTAAATAAATAATGTATCTTGGCTTAAAATGAAAGAATATTTGGCATTACAATCTTAATCTTATAGTAACTACAGTTGTCTGCAAGTACAAGTATTATCTTCGGATATTAAAAAAAAATCTTTTTCTTTCAGGGAAAAAGTGAAAAAGTTTTTTAAATCTAGTATAAAATTGGTATTTATATAAGAAAAAGTGTACAACATCGTATTTGTATCGTGATCTAGGTAAGTATAAATCAAGTCACAGGGAACAAAATTATAATAGAATAAATAATCCTATGATATGGTAAGTTGTTTTGAAAGCTCGCGTGAAAACTAGCGTTTAATTTAATACCATCTGTCTAATAATATATACCTGCTGATTAACTGGCACTGCCCCACCAAACTGAGCATCAAATGCTGCAAAGTTATTATTCTGAAGCAGCTGAAGAGAATTTTGGCCATTGTTGAGCGGTTGAACAGCTGGTGGGAGAACAGCAGTCTGTTGTACAGAAAGATCAGCTGATTGCGGTTGAGCTACTACTGGTGGAGGATTAATAACAAACGGGGTGGCGGGTTCCTTAAAAGTTAGAAAAATAAAGAATTTTGGTCCTTCATCACGAGCTTCAAGCTTTAACATATTTGAAGTAGCAGACGCCAATTTAGATGATTTTTACGACTAAATGCAGTGGTCGGTGACAATGAAGATGAATTTTGAAAATAATGCTTTGATCTCTAACAAGCATTTTCCAACTTAAAAGTTTACAAGCAAACAAAGAGAAGCTTTTAATTGACAACTTCTCTTTGTTTGGGTATCTGCTGTTTGAAAGATTGGTATATAAGAAATCAAAAAGTTAAAGGAAGGTTTAATAAATATTAAGATGATTCATATAAAAGATAGAATTTATTATAAATAAATGCCATACTTAATAACCCTTTAAAGGCTTGAGGGGTGGGGGTGTCTTAATCTATGTATAGCCTGGGGGAGCGCCCCCTCTCCCCTAGAAAAAAGCCTTAGAGAATAGGTATAGGGTTGAAATGCATGATCTTAAAGTCCAATTTTTCAAGACCAGCTCATTGAAAAAAATTAGACCGATAACTTTAATAGTTTGGGTTCTAGGGAGGGTTATAAGAATGTCAAAAAAAGGGTCAACATAATGTAAAAATGTTGTTTTGTTTAAAACAAATATCAAAGATTGACACATGTTTCAACATCCATTTTACAAGGGCTTTTCAAAACCATATTTTTTAGATCTGTAATCTGTAGCTTAAGTTACAAAAAAGTAAAAAAAAAAACATTATTGGCTATTTTTTTATTTATTTTTACACAGACTGGACTTTTTACCGCTCTGTTCCTTACCCTTTGCATTTAAAAAAAAATCCTTTAAANGTATTCTGAGCTGGGAAATCAGGATTGAAGCCAGCTTATTTAAAAATGTTATTAAAGAAATCCTGGTTGAAAATTATAATCTTCAACTTTGGTTTTTATTAAATTTCTTTTACTTTGGCAACCAGTCCCTTTAAACCAGTAAAATTTACCCTTTGTTTCTCAATCTGGGAGGAGGAGGAGATCCGCTGAACACCAAAATCTAAAAAAAAATTCAAATTTTGAAATCATAAGAAAAGAGTCACTATTTCTAAAATTGATATGCCGTAGAAAATTTTTATAATTCGCAAATTATTTGGTCTAAGTAGGTGAATTTTCATAAATTGGAAAACCGTATCTTTATGTAGACTGATATTTTTATATCTAATCGACAAGAAAACCCAGTGGGGAAAAAAAATGTGTGCACGATCGTCAGTTCAAACGTATGTTTATTGGAAACACATAAAACTAACAAACAAGCATTTTTTGGCCAAAAAAAACTTCTAGAATCTGAATATTGTATTAAGATAAGATAAGATAAGATAAAGTTTATTGCTAAAATAAATGTATCTGTATACAGATAGAGTTTACAATTACAAATAGATGGTTATATTAACAGTACAAGTATAAAGCAATTAGGTGGAAAATAGCTCTTGGCTCTTTTGATTATTTTTTCCACCTAATTTTAGTAATAATAACAAAACATTTCAATTAAATAGATTTAAGGAGAACGATTAGAGATCAGGGTGCGAATTTATCTTATACAAAATAGTTTAGACATTAATTCGAATAACTAGAGTTTAAAGTAATTTTCTAACATGTACACAACAAATATCAAAGCATATTAAAAAATATCTAATTAGTTTTAGATGAAAAGCAATAAATCAATCTCCTCATAAGAGTCTTAATATTTGCGAGTAAACCTCTGTAGATATATTTTGTTAAACTACGCTTACGAAACTATGTATTGAAATTTACTGTTAACATCATTGATTGAATTTTATTTGGAAAAGCCTTTGCAAAGCAATTCCGTTGCACGCAATTCCGCGCAATTACGGGAATATTTAATTGCTTCCTTGTTCCCAATTTTTGCGCAATTCCGGGCAATGAAATTGCGTAAGCGGAAGCAACCATTGCACGCAACGGAATTCCGATTAGAAACCCTTTAAGTATTTTTTATCCTTATGTTTAAATTTCTTTGGTCTTAAACCCTCCCTTGGGTCATGTGAGATTATTTCATCTATTTACCTTGGTTAGTATGGAAAGAGATTGTAGAGAGAGGTGACGGGAATACAGAACCCTGGATATTTCAAATTAAAAAAAAAAAAAAAACATTTTTGTTGTTGTTGTGAAAGACTCTGCATACAATTTAAATATGACACTAAACTGTTTGTTTTTGTAATTTTAAAACCAAGCTAACTGAAAATTACAACATCGTTAATAAAAGAATTGTAAACGTAAATTACAGGTAACCCTCCATTCAAGATGGGTCCGGCATGCCCAATTTCCGACGGTACCCTTGAAACCATAATCAGATCAATGATGTGGAAGATAATGTTGTTATTCTAAGTTGAAAAGTGTTTAACTCTGTTAGTTTATCTTTTGTTTCTGAAGCAAGAAATGCGCTAGCTAGATTTGCAGAGAAACTGCATACTACTACTACTAACTGCAGAAAGTATAGAAGTTATGAAATAAAAAAATTGTGTAAAATCCACAATCATCAAATTTCAATTTTTTAAGTATGCAACATTTTCAATAAAATATGTTTTTTTATTTGTCAACTAAGAGAATATCATGTTACAATTAAACCTCCATTTAGAGAGGGAGAAGGAGGAGGGGGGGGGGGGAAGGGTAAACCATTTCTTGTGCAATTTTTTTTAAAGAATGAATATATCCTGGTTCCTTAAACACAGGGTTGAATGGTTGTGACGAGGAGACACCACTATCTTCAACCTGCAAAAATATTTAACCGTTTAAGATCTGAATTGAATTTTTATTTCTTAACCCTTTAAGCCTTGAACCATATTTTTATTTCTTAACCCTTAAAGCCTTATCTTTATTTCTTCACCTTTCAAGCACTGCATTGCATTTTTATTTCTTAACTATTTAAGCCTGAACTGGTTTTAATTGTTTAACCCTTATATCTGGGCATTTTATTTTGTTGTAAAATCCTTTGAGCTCCATTCTGTATATTTAAGAACTCCGCTGTAACCATTCAAGTCTGCAATGCATTTTTCCTGTTTAAACCTTTATAAGCTCTGAACTTTATTTCTATTTTTTAACCCTTTAAACCCTGAACTGTATTTCCAAGAGTGAAGGTATTAAAAAAGGTGGGGGTGCCAAATGCCCCCCCCCCTCCCCGCCTGTTTAGTGTTTAGGGTTAAATTTTTTTCAAATAGGAAATACCTGAACATTAAGGGATCTAGGTTCTTCCCTTGGCCGCTCAACACGTGATTCTTGAATTCTCTCACCAGGTGCCTCTGCTGGTGTTTCTTGAATTCTCTCACCAGGTGTCTCTGCTGGTGTTTCTTGAATTCTCTCAACCGGTGTCTCTACTGGTACTCTTGGTGTTACCACGCCACTTCTTCTTGAAGATCCTCTAGCTCTCCCTCTAGATAATCCTTCATTTGATCCCTGTCTGGAGTTATTATTCTCTATTCCTGATTGACCATGTGTAACTGATATCCTTGATCTAAAAATAAACATGAAATACAGATTAAAAAGTTGAAATCCAAGATACAAAAGTATACAGGGACTGAACTTAATAAATTTGAGCTACGCCGCTGTACTACCTAATGCCGGTTCAAATTCAATTGAAAGTTATAGAATCAGATAGGAGTTGAATCGGTGATTCAAATTTTAACCAGCAGTTATAGGCAGTTCAGGGACTCCGCAAATTCATTAAATTCGGTCCCAGAAGATGTCTCCATAAATGAAAAAAATGTAGCCCCCCCCCCCTAACAGCTACCTCGTATTCTGAGCTGGGAAAGATGAGAATCTTGAATCTGTGTTTGAATCCGTCCTTGTGTTAGAATTATCACGGGATCTTGGACTATCTCTGTATAATAATTATATATACAAAATAATATTCTAGGCTTTTTTATTTTAAATTGTGGCTCTATCTGTGAGAATTTTCTCTTCGCACAAAATAAACCAAATTTTTGAAATTCTAAACATCCATAAACCTTCCCTGGGGTCATGTGAGGTCTCACAAAAAAATGTCGTCCCGATCGGTTCAGCCGTGTTGATGTTTTATGGACAAACAAACACCCAAACAATTGTATACATATAGAAAACTAGCTGAAGGGCCCGGCGTTGCCCATAAAAAAATATTTAAAATTAAAAAATTTTGAAAAAAAAATTTATAGAAAAATCAGCCCACTCGGTCCAGCCGTTTGACTGGCCAGAGGGAACATATATACGAACGTCTTGTTTTATCATGTGTTCATATTATTAAATAATGTTCATTTATCTTGGTGATTTGCGAGAAAATCTGTTTACAATGTCGGATTTTTTAGGTGCAATTTGTGTATTACTAGACACATTCAAAACTGGACATGAAGGTATGGTTTAACAGATTTTGAAACTTCTGGTCAAACAATTTTCAATTATTTTATTTGTCATATTTTTTTAAAAGCAATTACTGTGTAAAGTAGGAATTATACGCGGACAGTGAAACAAAATGGCTGTTTTTACACTTTTTAAAGTGAATTCCACTTTATTTGTTTTCTATTCTGAGTTAATACCTGATAACTTCTTGTCTTCTTGGTATAATATTCCTAATATCTTCCTAAAAATGAAAATTGAAAAAATTATTAAAATGAAAGTGCGCACATAAAACCGTATACAGTTAACCATTTATATCGTGTTTACACTTTTCCAATTTAAAAACTAAGCTTCCCTTCCCCCTCATTGTTACTTTTTTCATATTATCCCGCTGAACCACATGTTCCTTCCTTAACTCCTACCATCTACTTTCTTCCTTTCCCCTCTCCCTTTTCTACAATTTACAAACTTCACTCCCCTTACATTCTTCCTTCCCTTTTTATTCCATTTACAACCTTCCTTCCCATTTCTTCTTTCTTCTCATTCCCTCCTTTCTACCATTTACAACCTTCGTTCCAATTTTTTCTTTCTTCTCCTTCCCTCCTTTCTACCATTTACAACCTTCCTTCCAATTTGTTCTTTCTTCTCCTTCCCTCCTTTCTACCATTTACAACCTTCCTTCCCATTTCTTCTTTCTTCTCCTTCCCTGCTTTCTACCATTTACAACCTTCCTTTCCATTTCTTCTTTCTTCTCCTTCCCTCCTTTATACCATTTACAACCTTCCTCCCCCATTCCCTTTTTCCTTCTCCTTCCTTTCTTCCTTCCCACTCCCTCCTTTCTACCAATTACAACCTTCCTTTCTTCTCCCTTCTTCCTTCCTCTTCACTCCTTTCTACCATTTACAAACTTTTTTCCCCTTTCCTTCTTCCTTCCCCCTTTATTCCATTTACAACCTTCCTTCCCCTTCCCTTTTTCCTTCTCCTTACCTTCTTCCTTTCCCCTCCCTCCTTTCTACCATTTACAACCTTCCTTACTTTTCCCATCTTCCTTCCTATCCACTCCTTTCTACCATTTACAACCTTCTTTACCCTTCCCTTCTTCCATCCCTCTTTATTTCTTTTACAACCTTCCTTCCCTCCTACCCTTTCCAATTTCTTCATTCCCCTTCTCCCCTGTCTGCTATTTACAACCTTCCTTCCCCTTCTCTTCTTCCTTCTCCCACTCTCCTTTCTACCATTTACAACCTTCCTTCCCCCTTCCCCTTCTCTCTTCAGTTCAATAGTTTCTCCTGATATACCTTCATCTTAATCTGTGCAGCTTCCTCCTCTGTTTCCGGTATTTTTATATCCTCAAGAGCCTTAACAATATATTCATCTTTTATATCCTATATAATAATGCATAAACAATATAACCATTTTTATATCCTCTATAATAGTACATAAACAATATATCAATCTTTTATATCCTCTTGCGCCTAACAATTATATCCTTAAAGTTATAAAATGTGATTGTTATTAATATTATGATACGATAAATTTCGTTAAAAAACTTAACATACAAAAAATTTATTTTGAAAAATACCGAATTTCGTGGAAAAGCTTGTGGTACCACCTCAAATTCCGCTTTTTGCATTTCTTAATTAGAAAAAACACGCAGATTTCCAATTTTTGCGCGGAATTCCGTGTTAATCTGTTTCGTGCAAAAATGCAGGATTTGGTTTGTATGCAGAAAGCTATTTTGAACCATTAAGTAAGGATGTACGTAAATATTTTTTCTCATGTTTGTGTTGTGCCCCGTGTGATACATTTTTAACGGCTCTATCTGTACAGCACATAAATATATATGTACAGTGTACACTGTACAGTACTCTATTATGTACCTAAGTAATTAACTCCAAATGCTCTATCTACGAAATACATAAATAATTATGTACAGTGTACAGTTCACTATAATGTACCTAAGTAACTTTCTCTAAAGAATCTAGCTGTGAAGTACATAAGTATCTATGTACAGTGTAACATACTCTATTATGTACTTGAGTAACTATCTCTAAAAGCTCTATCTGTGAAATACATAAATATCTATGTACAGTGTACAGTTCTCTTTTCTATAACTGAGTAACTATTTCTAAAGGCTCTATCTGTGAATTACATAAATATCTTTGTACACTGTACATTATTGTATATGTACCTGAGTAACTATCTCTAAAGGCTCTGATTGTTCTGTAACAGGTTCAAAATCTCTGGCTGTCTCAAGTAAAGCATCCAAAGCAGCAACAGGGTCTACAGTTGAAGCTCTAAATAGATCACAATAATAACTCTCCTTAACAACAAATTAATCTTTAACAACTAAGAAAATATTCTGAACTATTGGAGTGTAAAATATCACTACTCGTTATTAGTTATTGTTCGCGAAAATCAAAAGAGCTGAATCAGAATCAAATTTGGATTAGATTGCACTATTTTTTCATCTTTTAGGAGGAAATGGTTGAATTAATAATACTTATCGTTAAGAGAGTAGAGTCTGAATGTAAATAGACTAAGTCACTCAAACCGTAAATTATTCAATTGTATTTATAACGTAACTGATCATTCAAATATTAAAATATGTAAATTCCAAAATTTATTGTGTTGATTTTCTGTTATTCTTGGCTCTTAATATTTCCTCCTTATAGCAGTTTAAACATTTAAATCTTTAAACATAAAATAATTTTGCTTTTTAGAGGCTTTCTTTATCATATTTAAAACTAACCTTTTTATCTTTTTCATAATATAAATTTTCACATTTTTGTAATTTAATAAAATTTAATTTTCTTGTTGTGAATCTTGTCAGTCAAAGAAACTTGGTCAAAAAAAACCAAGCCCAATGGTTACCCACACAGGAAGAGACGATATAGACTATATAGACTATATAGACTATATAGACTATATAGAGGAGTGTCTAAAATTTATATATTTTGTTTCCTTAAATATTCATGATTCTCTGCAACTGCAGAACTTGTTTTTTTCAATTCATTTATTAAGCCATTAAAAGACAGAAGTTTTATTTAACCTGGGATCATGATTTAATAAATTTTCTGGTCGTCTTTGCAGTCTGATTCTCTGTGGATAACCCTGTACCTTAAACCGTGTACTGTTAATCTAATACCTGGTTGAAAGTATAGGTTCAGGGGTTTTGGATGTTGTTGTTGTTGCTGTTGTTGTTGTTGTTGTTGATGTTGATGTTGTTGTTGTTGTGGTATCAGTGCTCTGACCTCTACTAAAGTTGAATCGTCTTCTGTTCTGAAAATAAAGAAAACATTTCCTTAAATAAGACACGGAGAAACAACTTAAGTTTGAATGATGTGCAAATTCAATTCACCTCAGTTGGTCGGATTCTGTTCTCTTTGATGCTATTTTCTTCATCTTTCACCTACAAAAATATTTTTTTTTCTGTGAAAGTATCTAGATCAATACAAGGTGACTTGGCCTTGCACTTTTTGTTATCGAAGTCCAGTCCCATGAGAAACAGGAAAATATTTTGAAAAAAATTATATCTGAACTTTAAATGTTTTCTAATAATTAATCTATTAGTAAAAATTAGGTCATTTTCGACCTATAAAATCAACTTTAAAATTAATTTACGCATATTTTCTTACTTTGCTAACAAGTCGTCTTATAGATGCTCTGGGAGTTTGAGCAATCACCTCTTCTGATTCAGTGGTGGCTTTCTCAAAACTGGTTTCAGTCGTACTCTGAATACGGAACTTCTTCCTGTAAAAAAAATAGTTCTAAATAAATGAATTCGTAGTTGTAGTTTTCTGGGGGTGAATAGTAAGATGGCAAAAGCATAGATAAAAAATTGACATTATTTATTTATTAAAAAGGGAGTGTTTGCAAAAAATGAAAGGGGTAGGCTGATATCGAATTTTATTGTAGATCGATCGTAATTTTAGTCTAAGGAGAAAATGGTAAAAAAGTCTTATACCCTTGAGCGTTATAGCTGTCCACATAAATTGACAGAGTTGCGTTATTTCACTTAGATCGTAAGTATAAGCTTCAAACGAGATTTTTTTCGATATTAGCCTTTATCCTCTTCAATTTTTCGCGAACTCTTCCTTTAAGGGAAATAATGTACATCTTCATCTAACCCCTCCCTTCCAGGTCAGCTGTACATTAAAACCCTTAAACTTGTGGAGCTACATACGGACCTAATTAAGTTATGTCATGCCTTTTCAAACTCTTCTTATAGTTTTCATTTTACTTTTGCAGAGTGTGAAAAAGAAGCTTGTTTTAATAAATTTCATGCAATAATTTCAAGACTTGCCTATTTTGTTATTTTAAAAATAAAAATTGACCTGAAAAACTTGCGACTGGCGGTTGTCTCTTCAGGTTGGACAGTAGGAACTGGAGTAGTTGGCACAAATTTCACACGGACTATCTGAAAAGAGATGCTATGGGCGTCGGCTTTTGATTCGTATGAGTTTTTTTAGAAGTTTAAAGAGGCTCAAAATATGGTCTGGGGATATACAGACTTTGTACAAGCCGTTTTTGAACGGTTAGTTAAAATTGTTAAATAACCAACTATTCTGGTAGCCTCTTGTTCTTTAACTAAGAACTGAACGTTCCGTTTGTAAACGGTATTTTCTCAAAGTTCTCGTTCAATAACGATCACAATTTTATTAGCAGCGTTAAAGGAAGATATTTTAGAGATTGTTAACGGTGCCAGCAGTTACTGAGCTGTTAACAATTATTTCATGAATAGCTGAACAAGATTTTAAAACGTCAAAACATGCAAGAAACATTAAAATACATAAAATTTATTTTCTATTTTCTGTAAGTATAAATTTTGAAGTCGAAAAATAAACAAAGTAGAGGTTATTTTAAACCCGTCCGTTCCAATTCTTTTTATAAACCTTACATTATTTATCAAGAACGACTATTCTCGTGTGTTTGTTTATTTGTCAAATTTATAGTTTTTGCATTTTTTAGAGGACTTTATATGTAATAGAATTTTTACCTGTTCATTCAGAGTTCTTATACCGCTTGGTGAACTGACAGTTTGGACTGGAACAGCAATCAAACAAAATTGTCATTTTTTCAAACCAAATTATTTTAAGGAGGGCCCAACTTTTATGAGTTATAATAGATAGATAAGAAGTGACGCTGATATTATTGTTTTTTTTTTGCTTTTTCATAATTTTGAATTAACTTTACTTAATGAGGTAAAGATTTAATCTGCTAAAGCAGGTTTTCATTCATTATGTGGAAAAATACAAAATTTTAAAATTTCTCTTTAATTGAAGAGCTGGATTACAAACCACTTGGCGATTTAATAAAACAACTTTTTTAATAAAAAAAGAAAAAAAGAAAAAAAATGTACTGAACAAATTTTAACAAAGGGTGCTTGACAATAGCGAAATTGTACTATGAGAACTAGGGATTTTAAAAATTAAGTTGCAATAATTGCAAGATTCAAAATCCTCAGCGACATTTCATGAGCAGAAGAAAGAATAATGACGACATCTACTCCACAGTATTTTAGTTTTTCTTTTTATGAAAATTTTTTTCCTGAAGAGGTTCCTTTGAACGGGGCTCCCTAATTAGATAAATTATTATTAATAAAGAAAATTGATTTTCCCCGAGGAAAATTCACTTCAACTTGATGATATGCATCAAACAAACACTTAGTTATTTTAATAACCTCAAAAACATAAAATATTCAATAAAACAAACTTTTTAAATATTTACGTATTGGAAGGGGGGGGGGTATATTTAAAGTACTATTGCATTTGGGCCCATAAAACTTGTTAAAAACCACTTTTACTATTTGCTTTAAAATTAACTTAATTAATTGAAATGGATCTGTGTACACTGCATGACTTCTATGTTTAATGTTCAATATAATGTTTGAAGTCATAATTTAAGTTTTACAGTCGTCTTCCTATTCCACAGTTGTACAGAAAACCCCTTAATAACGATTACATTGAAAGAATTCATCAAATGTCGTACTCTTCACTTTCTGATAATGGAATATTGCAGATATTTAGTTTTTTAGTTAAATTATTATATGGAACTCTTTAAAACTGTTCCCGCATATTCATGGCTATTTATTTATGTTCGCAAATACTGAAATTTACGTAATATAGTATAAAACTCATTGAAAAATTGTCAAGACGACATTTGATACATTCTTCCGATGTATTCGTTAAAAAGGGTTTCACTGTATGTAAACCACTATATACCTGTGAGTCTCCAAGAATGGCTTCTTTGATCTCCTGATTTGTTAATTTCTCGATAGGACTATCAACTATATCATTTACTACAGACTATAACAGGGAGTATGGAATAGAAGGGAGATACAACTGACGCGGTTCGCCTTACCATATGATTATACATGCTTTGCAGACGAGTACTCCATTTGAATAAGAAATATTTGTCTGATGTACAATTACCGCGTATACAATAACCTTTTCTGAATATTTCTTATACAAATGTAGTGCCCGTCTGCATAACATGTATAATCATATGGTAGGGCGAACCGCGTCAGTTATATCTTAATATCTTACATAACTTATCTTACATCTTATATTATAAAACTCTGTATATTTAAAATTTATTTGAAAAATTAACCTGATTAGGAATTTTAATCTTTATTCTCTGTTGTTCAACTGTTTCTTCATCCGGTATAATATCAGGTGTTTCTATCTCTACTTCCGGTTTAGCTCCAAGGAATGGTCGTCTTCTAAACAAGATGGCGGCTTGAATTGTTTGCAACAGAAATACAAAATATTTTGAGCTGATCACTGAGACATTTAGAATATTTTGAGGTCGGAACATTTGTGTGAAATATATTGATGAGAATTCAAGCTATATTCACTTAAAAACATTTTTCGGGAAAAGTCGTTTTCTAGAAATTTCAGCCCTTTTCTTTTTTTACTTACTTGAAAGTATTTTTGAGGAAAAGTCGTCTTCTAGCAATGGCGGATTCATCCTGTTCTTCTGCTCTTGATGTAACAGGTTGCTCTGCCGTCACTTCTTGCTTTAAGGCTCGGGGTAGAAATCCTCTCCTGCCTAAATGTCGTATTTAATTAGCTTCGAAATATTTGATTTCATTTGTATTTCCGGGACGACTTTGTGACCTCGTAGCTCCTGTATTTATATCCGGTTACAATATATTCAGTTAAATATTAGAAATTCAAAACATCTTTTTGTTCTTCTCAATACCTCTTCAATAAGAGTTATAATTGATAATATTTCAATCTAACATAAAAATTTATTTAAACTAATTTAGTTTGACATGGCTAATAAAATTTACATGGCTAATTGAAATATGTTGATATGATGCAAATACTAAATATATTGTCAATAGCTTGTAAACACAAAAATTATTCATCTAAAATAAAAAATAGTGTGAAATAACTTAATAAGTATAAAATCAGTGTGTGAGTCTTGATTCATAAATCTTAACATAAACTGAGGTTTTGAGGTCAAAATAAAATTGCTTCCCCTTCTATATCCACCAAAGCACTTTTTCAACTTTTGCCCCTCCCCCCCCCCTTTCTAAATTCCTAGCTTCGGACCTGATAACCCTGTATATTCCCAGTAAACATGAAAGGAAAAAAACTCATCACACAGAGAAAACTCTTTGACGCTTTAATTATAAAGTTATTTATTTTCCATCACTAGCGTGGGTAACTGAATATATCTCGTGGTTAGAAACTTGAAATTAGATAATCATTAACACTTTTAATAACAGCTGATATAACAGGCAATAAATTATAATGACGAAATAGAACAAACAAACATACACGTTAAAATGGGAAGAAAAATGTTAAAAAGCATTGTTATTATTATTATACCCTCTTGGGCTAGCAATACAGGAATCAGGAATAAGCTTACCAAGATCTAAACAGAATCTTTTTAAATATATTTTTTTTTAAGGTAATTCTATTTTTATATTTTTTAAGACACCCTATTGGTTTTTGTCAACCTTATTTTACATTCTTTAGACACCCTGTCGTAGATATTTCTAGCGAGCATCTGTATCCTCTCAGAACTGTTGCATTAGTTTGACCTTTTCACGTCTCAATAACAAGAATACGCAATAATAAACACATCCTACCAGTTTGACTGCCATGGTTCTACTACACCTTTATTCTGAAAATATGTAATGTCAGGTCTAGCCCTAGGTGTGGGGCATCATCTTAAAAGAGTTGGGGCAATATTTGCAATAAAATGG